ATCTTTAACTAAATGTGCAATATATATTTTGTAATCATGTGATATTGATTATAAAAATAATCCCTGTTCTATTAGTAGAAATTTCCTTCATCTTAATTTTATTTGATTAATTACACCTTGAATAATTAGATACAGATTTTTAGATACTATTTGGGGAATGTCTTAGTTTTAGGGACAATGGGATACTAATTCCATTACTTACTGTTAAGCAGAAACAACCATAGAAAATTCTAAGTTTATTTTATTATTTAGTTATATTTTTTGGCCATTTGGGTTTTTCTTAAATGGAATTTGAATTTGTTTTAAATTAGAATTTTAAAGCATTATTGTATTCTTAACTAGTCCAGGAGTTGAATCTAGCACATATATCACTAATTCTCTCTGACCTTCAATAGATCGTTTCAATTTTCTAGTCTTCAGTTTGTCATCTCTAAGATGAGAGACTTGGAGAGGCTTGGTCTCTAAATTGTCTTTAAACTCCACCAGCCTTTAAGTCTTTAATCTGTTAAAGTTAAAGTCAACTTTACCAGTGTGTGAAAAGCTTTATGTATATGTTTTAGTATAAAAATATTTAGTCTAAAGTAGATAAAACATTTTACTAAGGAATCTGGATCTGAAACTATAAGTAGATTTTATTGAGTAGTATTATTTTATTAAAAGTCAAATGGAATGAATGCAGTTACTTAGGAGATTTTATCATACAAAGTAGTTACTTAGGAGATTTTATCATATTTAAATTTATTTTGTTACTTTAAATCCAATTATGGCCTAATGCTTTTACCTTTGGAATTTTGTTTGGGTTTTAATTCACTGACTTTTGGGTTTTCTTTTTTTTTGGCTTTATTATGTTGCCATTTCAGTCAGTTAATTCTTTTCTGGCTACTATTCTAAGCTTATTTTTCTGAGGTTTAGTTCTTAGTTGCCTCAGAAAACTTTCTGGTTCTATATCATTTATTTTCTTCATATAGCAAATGGTTAATGAGTATCCACTGTGTGTCTGGTACTATGTGAAGTATTGAAGATACTAAGAAGAGAAAACCTGATCTCCCACTTAATGCATCTTACAGTCTAATCATCGAACAGATTTAGAAAGAAGCTGTTACAATATAGAGATATAAGATATTTATGAGGCAGTCTCCTTACTGTTTCTTGATAATGCCATATATGTGCCTAGCTTAGGGCTTTTGCCCTTTTGCACTGGACTGTCTCACTTACTTTATGGCTTTGCTCCGTTTTCACCTTCCCAATGAGGCCTACTGACCCCCGTATTTTTTTTTTTTTTCGGTATGCGGGCCTCTCACTGTTGTGGGCTCTCCCGTTGCGGAGCACAGGCTCCGGACACGCAGGCTCAGCGGCCACGGCTCACGGGCCCAGCCGCTCCACGGCATCTGGGATCTTCCTGAACCGGGGCACAAACCCGTGTCCCCTGAATTGGCAGGCGGACTCTCAACCACTACGCCACCAGGGAAGCCCTGACCACCGTATTTAATTTGACATCTTACACTCCACCCTTTCAGCATTCCCAGTCCACCTTACCGTGTTCCACTTTTTCTTCTAAGAAACTGAATATTTTACTTATTTATTACATAAGGATATTTGTTTTGTTCACTAATGTATCCAAGTGCTTAGAATAGCGATTGGAACATAAGTAGGTGCTCAACAAATATTTTTCAAATGAATGAATTGGTGACTATAATCTTCCTATATACATAATTGAGTTAAATGAATACCCTAAGTGTACTCTGAGAAAGAAAGAAAAGGAAAGTAATTTATAATAAGTTAATATATATTTAATAATGTAAATGCTCAGGCACCAACTGTACTAAAAGAGACAATGAAGTAGTTAGATGCTTACACATAGTATCATTAATATAACAGACACATACAAACAGTTGTTTATATTTGTCTTACGTTTACCAAGTTACATTGGTGGGTGACTTGATTTTCCCAAATGGTGAACAATTTCTTTGTGAAACTGTAAACTAAACAAAGTACAGTCTTCCCTCACTTTATATGATAGTTTGTTCCTGGGAAATCTATTGTATATTAAAATCATGCAAAACTTCCTTGTGTTTGTATGTAAAATGGCGTTAGAGTGTAGATAATTATTAAGCAGGTTTCGCATACATGGACATGTGAAAGTGTTATAGGATGAGAACAGTTCTTTCTGTGTGGGACTGTCCTGTATTGCAGGACAGTCAGCATCCCTGGGTTCCACCTACCAAATCCCCTGACAGTATCTTCTAGTTATTGGCACAACCCAGAAATGTGCCCACAATTTTCCATTATGCCCCTGTGGTGAACAGTTATTCTGTGACCTTACCCTGCTTTATTTTTCTTCTTAGTACTTATTACTGTGTGACTTATTATTTGTTGATTTGTTGATGAAAACTTGCCCTATTAGATTTTAAGCTTCGTGAGATCAGGATCTTTGTCCATTTTGTATCAGCCTGTTTGTGGTACTCAGTATATGTATTTGTTAAATTAATGGATGAGTGGTTGGGAGAGTAGTGAGAAATTGGGCTAGAGAATCTGGAACAGGCTGTTTAAAGGATATCTAATAGGAAAGTGATAAAATCAGATTGTATGTGAATAGATTGTATAGTTGCAGTGCAGCAAATGGGTTGGAGGGATGCCAGAGGAGAAATGAGTAGACTAGTTTGATAATCCAAGTGAGACATGGTAATTTAGACAGTGGATGGGTTGGTGATGGTAGAAGAGAGGGACAGAGTGGATGTATCCAGTATATTTTAGAGACAAATGGGTGATATAACTTGGAGATCAATTGAACTTGGAGGGGAAGGAAGTATCAAGGATAATTCCTTCTAAAAAATACAACAAACTAGTAAATATAACAAAAAAGAAGCAGACTCACAGATTTAGAGAACAAACTAGTGGTTACCAGTGGGGGGGGGAGGGGCAACATGGAGGTGAGGGAGTGGGAGGTACAAACTATTGAGTGTAAGATAGGCTACAAGGATGTATCATACAACATGGGGAGTAAAGCCAGTATTTTGTTATAATTGTAAATGGAATGTAACCTTTAACAATTTATAAAAAATAAAAAAGTAAAAAAAGGATGTTTCCTAAATATCTGGCTTATGCTGCTGGTTAAGTCTTGGTTCTGTTCTCTTAGGTCGGAAGCACAAGAAGATAGGACTAGATTTTTTACGAGGTAGGGTGATCATAAATTGTATTAGGATATGTTATATTTGCTATTGCTTTTAAGGCATCCAAGTGGAGATGTCAACCAAGCAGGCATTTGGATTTTCTTTTCACCAGTTTTTTTTTTTTTTTTTTTGCGGTACGCGGGCCTCTCACTGTTGTGGCCTCTCCCGTTGCAGAGCACAGGCTCCGGACGCGCAGGCTCAGCGGCCATGGCTCGCGGGCCCAGCCGCTCCATGGCATGTGGGATCTTCCCGGACCGGGGCACGAACCCGTGTCCGCTGCATCGGCAGGCGGACTCTCAACCACTGCGCCACCAGGGAAGCCCTCACCAGTTATTTTTGAGTGCATTTACAGTTCTAGGCACTGGTGGAGGAGATATGGCAGTAAGCAAGCCAACTTGCTCTCACGGACATTTTATTCTAACGGGAGGAGATACATTTTTTTTTTTTTTTAAGTTAAGGATACTGTATATAAGTTAGTTTCTAATAGTGATGTGTGCTATGTAGAAAATATTAAAAGGGTTTTTAAACAGTATATAATTCTAGTCTGCTTTAGATTGAATGATTGGAGAAAGACTTCCTGAGAAGGAATATTAAATTGAGATATAAATAAGAAGGAGCAAACCAAGTGAAGATTAGAGGGAAGAGCATTCTAGACAGAACGGCCATTGCAAAAACTTTATGATGGGAAAGAGGCTAGTGTTAGAAGAATGGGAAAAAGGTCAGAGTTGTAGGAATATAGTAGATAGGGGTTAGAGTGACACAGCTCTGGTAAGAGAGGTGGGCAGGGATCAGATAATGTAGGGCTTTATAGTCCAGGGTAAGAAATTTATGTGAATACAGTGGGAGGTGAAATGATGTAGTAATGAAATAATTATTTTAAAAGTCGGGCTGGCGGTTGGGTAGAGAATAGATTCTACAAGAGGGTCAGGAATAGTAACAGTGGGCATTGGCAGGAGTTTAGGGGAGAGAAGATAGTAATTTGGACTGGGGTGGTAGTAGTGGAGATAGAAAGAAGTTCATAGATTTGAGTTTTTGTATTCAACAGGGCTTTGCTAATGGATTGACTATATTGGTTTGGAGCTCAGAGAAGAGGTCTGGAGTAAGTTTGGGCATTCTCAACATGTAGATGGTAATCAAAACCAGGGCAGAGATAAGGTTGTCTACTATAGTAATCCTCAACCCCATCTTTACAACTGAAATCACTTGTGGAACTTTTTCAAAGTAGACTTGCCCATACCCACCCCTGGATATCCACTTTCAGTAATATGGAGAGAGTCCCAACAACTTTATTCCAGAATAGCTTCATAGGTGAGTTTGAGCTAGCCTGTTATGGCCCCTGATGTGTTGAAGTAGAAGAAAATTTCCTATTCATCTTCTTTCCCTTTGTTTCCTACTCAGCTCTTTAAATCATTTGTAAACTTTAATCAGGCAACATTTAATTTTGCAAATGTAAGAATTTGTAAATCAGTGAATTATTGAGTATTTGCTTCATATTAATATGCTTGAATTTAGTATTTGATGTAACATTTGACTTGAACTTGATTTTTGTGGTCTGTTTATTGAAACATTTCTATTTATATATAGAATTTTTTTATAATATATAGAATTTTTAAAGGGGTCTAAAATGGTCTGTTCTTTTATTAGCATGCTATTAATTCAAGTTATAAGTCCATTCTTAGAGTTAGAATAAATGGATTAAAATAATAAGCATGGTTAGGTCTGTACATATACTCATGTATATATGATTTTATACATGTATGAGTATATGTACACTCACTATTAGGCAGACTCTTATACAATGTGTTTTCTTAATTGGTTTATATAACCAAATGGTGAATATCCCACTGTATATTGCTTTTCACAAGTGTCATTTTATGTTGTAAATAATTTCTTTCGTTTCAGAATTAATATCTTAGTTGCTATATACAATCTTTTCAGAGCAAAATATAGTAGGATGCTTCTCTGTACAAGTATTGCAAAAATGTTAGCAATTCTGAATTGTAATTATACGTTTGGAAAGTTTGATAGAGTGAAAAGATTATTTTTAAGTATAAAATTTTAGATTTAATTTTTTAAAAATTATTATGTTAATTAAGTTTTGGTCCCTTTTTTGTTATCAGAAAAGTCTTATTAAATATAGTTATTAAAATGCTAGAAAATAATTGAAAGTTTTTAGTTTCCAAAAGCAAAAGAAAAACTGCTAATTCTTTTTTTTTTGGCAAAAATTTTATGTCCAGCATTTGAATATCTTGGAAGTTAATTATGTGAAGAAAATGCATAAGGAAGGAAGAATGAATCGGAAAACAAACAATCTTCCAAATGTTGTATTTGGGAGAAAATAACTAGTTATAAGAGATATAGATTCTGAAAGTCTTAGAATATTACTGACTACTGACCATGTTTTTTGGAAATTAGTACTTTGCAATTTCAGTAATTATAGTGACCAAAGCAGAACATATTTTAAGATGTTGATTTTTGTGAACCTTTTAGATTACATACTGGAAACATTAGCCACATTTATACATATTTTATATATATTACATGATCCCAGGTTATTTTTTCCGTACTACTTTTGATATAGACCAGTGTTTCCTTATGGCTATTGGCATATTATTTATGATTTGGCAGAGAGAATCTGAAAATGTCATTATAGTCACCTTTGTAACTTCTTTTCCTTCCAAATTTACTAGTAGTCACTTTGTTTACTTTGAACTTCAACTTCTTTTCTTCCTTTTACTCTTCTGAAAGTGAAATTGTTCATGTTTGTCCACTTGTACTTCTTTCTCTTGAACTTAGGCCAGTAGTTTAGTTTCTTTAGTAGGCTTTAGTCGGTTTTACAGCATCATCTTTAAGGTAGCTATTTATTAGTACACTGGTTCTTAGCACTGCTATATTTAGGGTGATTTCTTTTTTCCGTAAAATTTCTTTCTAATGAAGATTTTATCTTGATACCTCTTAAAGAAACTAGAATATTTCCTTTTCCTACCTAATCTTCCTAAATGTGTACCCATCTCTTCAACATAAATGTGTATCCTTATTTTAAAAAATAAGGCCACAGTCCTAATGATTTGATCATATGGTTTTAATTATCTGTTAATAATTGATAGACATGATTCTAGTTCTTGTTTCTCAAAGACTTCTAAAAATGTTTTGCTACTCTTTTGTGTATGTTACTTTAGATTACATCTAAGTGATAGTATTTAAAATTAAATAAAATTTAAATTAAATAATTTGTTATATATAGATAAACTTTTAAAAAAGGAAGACCTTTGTTGTCTTATTAGAGTCTTGAATTTGCAGCTCTGTTAAATAGGCAGTTAAAACTGCCTCTTCGGTTTGGGATTACCATTTAGGATTTGACAATACAAGCTTTCACTCATTACTTGGAGAGAGTCAGCACAATGATAGATTCCCTCCGCCCTTCTTCCCCTCAAGGTAGGGAGTTAGCTTTCAGTCTGAGAATTTCTTGCTGAAGCTGTTAAATTCCTCAGAAACCCGTACTGTGATGGATAGGCTCTTGGTGTTTATAATGTTTGTTTGTATCTTAGAGCTGAATGGGTAGTGACCCACTTCACTGCTTCATATTAGATTAAGTTCATGTGAACAAACTCTCAATATACCAGGCCCTAGGCAAGCTTTCTATCACCTGGACTTTAGATTTACTGATCATATCTTCCAGTATGTTAAGAAATCAAAAAGTTCTTTAGGCGTATTTGGGAAGCATTTTTATTTTTCATCTTTTTGGAATTTGTGCAGTAGTATCAAACTAGCCTTTTTATCTTCTTGGAATTTTGGTAATAGTAATTTCAAAATTGTTTGCATCAAAACATAAATATATACAAAAGCTTATTTGTCAGTGTTTTGTGTTAGTTAATGGGTGTCCCATTTTGCAGTTTTACTAATCATTTTTGCTGTTGTTTGCAAACTTCATGAATTTTCCAGTTGGAGAGGTTCACTCATGAGAAGTGCCTTAATTTTTCTCTCTATCCCTCCTTTATAAAAAGGCATACCTCTTTTTTTTTTAATATAAATTAATTTTTTACTTTTGGCTGCATTGGGTCTTTGTTGCAGTGTGCAGGCTTCTCATTGCAGTGGTTTCTCTTGTTGAGGAGCACGGGCTTTAGGCGCGTGGGCTTCAGTAGTTGTGGCACGTGGGCTCAGTAGTTGTGGCTCGTGGGCTCTAGAGTGCAGGCTCAGTAGTTGTGGCACACGGGCTTATTTGCTCCGCGGCATGTGGGATCTTCCTGGACCAGGGCTCGAACCCGTGTCCCCTGCATTGGCAGGCGGATTCTTAACCACTGCGCCACCAGGGAAGTCCCAAAAAGGCATACCTCTTAACTGTCATATTTGTCAGAGAATTGAGTATAATGGAATTGATTCTTGCCCTGGTAGGTACATAGCATACTTCAGGAAATTAAAATTTTAAATGTAATACCTTAACTTCCATCACCTTAATTTTTTACTTTCTGTGTTGTAATTTAACCATTATATCTTCATTTTTAACACTTTATTTATTTACACTTCTCTACATTTATAATTCTATATTTTCTGTGTGAAATTTCTTGGCCAGTTACTTTTAATTCTTTCTCTTCTACAAATGTGATCATTAGTTTTCTTCTCTTTGAATTACTCACGTTAATATATATAAATGTGATGTTTGTTCACAATGTGCTTTGAGATTTTAGTATTAAAATATACATTTGAACTTCAGTGTTACATGATTTATTAATAAGTGGAATTCTATTTAAGGTAAGCTGTCCTAGACTTCAGCCAGGAGCATTGAAAGTTCTTTTATAATACGTATACCAATTGTACCTATGTGAGAGTATTAAAGAATTGTTGGTATGTCTCTTGTTATTCTATATGAAGCAGAGTAAGTCAATGAGAAGCCTAGGATTAGAAATTTGAGACAAGCTTTTAACCTTTTTTATGCCTTAGTTTCTTCATCTTTAGGGAGTTCTACCTTGATTATGCATATTTATGGAAGAGATTTGTAACTCCATCTCTGCATTACTACTTGGTTTAGAAATATGAGTGATTTTCTACGTACCAGAATTATAATACTAATTGTTTATCTTAGGTTTAACTTTTAAATTAGTTCATATTTCACTCGGTTTGCACCAAATGTCAGTGGAGAATGGTGACCTGTAAGCCTCCTAGTTGACAGGGGAAAACCAACTTAGCCTTAAACACTGGTTGTGGATAAATCTGAGCGTGGCTAATTGATGTGCAAGCAATTGAAAGTTGACTATACACACATACGTTTATCTTTCAGATATATTTGTAGAAAAATATGATAATGTTTATGAAAGACTTGGATATTCTGAAGAAAGATTCTTTATAATATTAAATTTTGATTTACATACTGCCATTGCAATATTTGTACTGTGTTACCTACTGATGGCTATCATTTTTCAGTTGAGTGTTCATCTGATTACTCTAGGTGATTTTACACTGTGCTTGTTAAAACATGTTGAAATATAATTAAAAAAACACAAAAATGTATCAGTTAATTCCTAAGTTAAACCACCATTTACATTTTTCCCAGAGGATATTAATCCAGTTTATTAAACACAAATGTAAAGTATTTCACCTGAATAAGAAAACAAGGTAAGGTAGTTGGTGAATGGATGAGTTAGAATCATTGATTTATTTGCTTGATTCAGATGAGTTGAAGTTGCTCTGTATTGATGTATTTTGAGTACATTATTTTGAATGCATTTGCAGAATACAGAATTAAGTATAAACAAGTGTCCAAATGATAGTTATTGTTTCAATAGTAGTCTAAAAATTTTGATTCTCAATTAAAATCTTGAAAGCAAAGCATTCTAGTTTAAGAGATAAAGAACTTTTATTTTTTCAACTTATTTGTAAAGACCTATTTTGCTTAAGCTTTTATCAGTCTTTTATGAGCTTTAAATTGATTAAAATACATTAACTATTTTCTTAGTTTGTGGTCTCTTTTTATCACATACCTAAATACTGATAATTCAAAATGCCTTACACACTGTTGATGTTTAAGTATATGTTATGGAAAAAGCTAAGTTATAATCAGCTCTTGATTATTTATACCAGTGGTATGAGAAATATAATGGACATTGGAAAAACAGCCATATATCAAATTTAATTTTAGATTTTGTATGAAAATTTTCACAACAGGTTTACTTGTGTAAATATTATATATGAAAAACATAAAATCATGAAATGTTTGAGGATTTGTGAGCTGAGTGACAACTGGGGAAGGTGGTGTAGAAACATACCAGGAGGTCAGAGAAAACTGGAGATTAAATGTTTCCGTATGTGTAATATACATACTTAATAAAGTATGTATATTATTGAGAGTTGACTATAATGAGATTACCTTGGATGAATGAATTTGATATTTCACAGAGTTTAATGTTTAATGTATTTTCTTTACTTCTCCTTAATTGAAAAATTATTATTGTTAGCTCTAAGTAACAGTTTTAAAATATAATTAGGAAATAATAAATTGTCTTATTTTCTTTTTCTTTCATTCTTTTTTTTCTCTTCTGCTTTTTTTTTTAGGGTATGAGTATTATAGAACAATTAGATCCTGTATCTTTTAGCAATTACTTGAAGAAATACCATAATACTATATGTGGAAGACATCCCATTGGGGTGTTATTAAATGTGAGTATCCTTAGGAAGCCTTGATTTTTTTAACGTTTGATCCTATTATGTTTCAAAATGTCTTAATTGTTATCATCTGTCTCACTTATTAGCTTTGGTTTTAGATATATAGTCAATTTTATTTCTAGTTCGTTTAAGATAATTTAAATTTCCATTGTTTTGGTTACTTAAATAAAATTATACATCACTGTATGACAGGTCAATACTTTCTTTTAAATACAGAAAGTTATTTAGAAGAGAAACCCATTTTTTTCTCTTGACTCTGAGCCAATTCCAATATGCTCTTTACAAATATAAACCAAAGTAACGTCTCAAGAAATATGGTCTTACTAATATTTTGGTTTTATTTAGTGTTCTTGACTTTATAAAAAATAAATGGAAGATTCTGCTCTTGAGTTTTAGATATTCATAATTTAATAAAGCAAGGCCGATGACATGTATATGTTTTTCTACTTATAACAAAAACAATATTTCATTTAAAGACTGGTAAAGAGGCAGAAGTTTTGGTTAGCTGGATTTTCTAAAGAGAGAATAGCATTAATTTTTTTCCTAATAAAACTGAAATTGAAATAAAATGAGAGACTCAAAAAGAAGACAGTGTACACTCAGGAATGGTTAGAGGAAGTAATAATGGGCTCATTGTTTGGAGAGGCAGAGAAATACTGGAGTTGGTAATGTAGTCTAGAATAGTCTAGGGTAGGAACCTAAAGGTCTAGTGTTACTTTACTGTGATTTGAAAAATAGTACATTGTGGATTTTTAGGAAAGGTCTTCTCTTAAGCAGTGTTGATTGACTGGGAGAAAAAGCCTGTTAAGGGCTTAAACTGATTTATGAAATTTAAACTAGAATAAGCTATACTAATTTACCAAAGTTTGAATTGGGTCAAATAAAACTTTAGTAAAATAAATGATGAGCCAATTCACAATTAAAGTAAAAACCCTGGTATACCTCTTAGATTTGGTACTTAATTTATATACATTTAAAATTTCAGACAAAGAAAAGACTCCAACATTTCAAGACGAAAGTGGCCAAGGTTTGGTTTAGAGAATAGAAAGAAAGATACTATGATTTTTAAAGTTTTTTATTTGTTTATTTTTTAAAGTGCCTTATTAAATACAGGGAGAGGTAGAGTGGAAGATGACTGATATTTATCAAGAAGCTAGATTAGGAGAAGTTCTTTGAGAGAATGAAATAAGGAGTTCTTTCTTTTTCCTATTTAATATGGGGTGACGAGAAATTCAAGAAACTATGAGTGAGAGATCTAGGCTTCAAAGTTAAGCTACCAGCACATTCAAAGAGTGCTCACTTTTTTGTGTGATGTCTGTCATAACCAAATTTTTCTTTTTCTAGGCTATCACAGAGCTGCAGAAGAATGGAATGAATATGAGCTTTTCCTTTTTGAATTATGCCCAGTCAAGCCAGTGTCGAAACTGGCAAGACAGTTCAGTGAGTTATGCAGCTGGAGCACTCACGGTTCACTGAAGCTCTGAATCCTCAGGGATGCCACCTGCACATACTCATACTCTGTCCAGGGTCCCAGCCTAACCCTTACCAAGATACTGGTCCTGGTTTGGGGGGATTCTGAAACCTCAAACTAATGGAACTTTCTTCTCTTCTTTTCTAGTAGGTGTAGTCCTTCCTTAATTTCAACTCATTAAAAAAATGCTTTATAGTTTAGAGCAGTGGAAGGAAGGCTGGCATCAAAATATTTTGATCAAAAAAAAAAGAAAGGCAATGTAAAGGCACAGTTGTGGCAGTCAGTTTTTTGAAAGTAACTTGTAAAGCATTTACCATATCCTAAATTTGCACTCTTTGCAGACTTGTGCACATATACTCCGCTTTCAGAATAGTTTTGCAAATTGTACACAAACAAACAAAAAGGGTGGAAGCTTTTTAATAAAAAAATTGCATTTATAAATGATCTGTATTAGAATATAAAAATCTCCAGTTATAGTCAATTACTACCCGTGTTGTACAACAGATACCTTCTATTTTAGTTGCTAATAAAGGGCTACACAACTCAAAATAGTCTGATTTAAACTTATTGCTCTGTGGTACATATGAAAATTGTTTTTTATTAATTCCATTTCAGAATTTTTATGTTAAAAGTGGTAAACTTTAGCTCATGTAAAAATATGTTAGGATGTATTTTTATATTTTACATATTTATGTGATTTTTTTATCACAGATATTAGAATCATATTTTAAAGTTAGCTTTTAAAATTACAGTTTGCCTTTTTATGTGTGACATCAGTTTGTGTCATTACTGTATTATAACACAATATAAATTCAAGATTGGTAAAGAACATAGGTGTAGTCCTGTAATTCAGAGATAGTGCTTGATAGGCAGTAGTCTGCAAATGAGGAAATACTGAAGAATGTTCTTAGTGTTTTTCAAATCATTGCAGACCATACACTGCTGCTATGCTTTTTTAATGCTTCAAGCAATTTGACTCTCTTACTTGAATTTTTAGCAAGAAGTCATTAACAATAACAAAAAACCACTGGATTTTCTTACAGTTCTACAATTTTTTTTTGTCATGATTTTTGGTGCGGCTCTTCCAACTAAAATAATGGTATGGTGTTGTATTTCTTCCTTTAGCATAGACCAATCGTAGAGTCACTTTGGCAAAAAAAAAAAAAAAAAGATAATTCAATTAGTTAATATTGGCCATCATGTATGTACTAGATTATACCTATTTTAATATAACAGTGGGTATTATTACATTGGAGAGCATTTATATCTTCAGTGTTATGCCAGGATAGCGCAATTTTTAGATGCCTTGCACCAATTTTACTTAAAGATTTGCATTTCTTACTAAATACCAACTTTCTATACTCAAAAACTGAGATAAAATTCTGTAATCTTTTGGATTCAAAATTACCCACCAATCCATATGTGGAAATTATATTCTTACATATTAGTGATTTATTTCCCATCATTCAGATATACTTTTGAGTACTGTAAATATTTATTCCTTATTTATTATATAGACTATAAAAATTTCAAAATTGACTACAGAGTAAATTTTTAACGTTTTCTGGGTATAAAACTAATTACATGATTATTACAGAAAATTTAGAAAATGCTGATAGCTATAAAGAAGAGAAAAAAAATTACCTGCAATCTCACTATTCAGAGATATACACTGTTAATATTTTTTGTATTACCTTTCGGTCTTTGTCTATGCTATTTATATGTATGAGTGTGTATATGTGTTTGTGTGTGTGCGTAATAACAAAATTGAGATTATGCTGATCATATAGTTGTATATCCTACTTTTTATAACTGACCATCATAAGTACTCTCCCATGTCTTTGAAAATGTGATTTTAAGAAATGGCTGTCTAATATTCTATTGTATGAATACAACATAATTTAACCAGTTCTCTCTTTGGATATTAGATTGTTTCTAATGCTTGACAATTATAAATAATAGTGGGATGGACATCTTTGTATGTGAAATTTGAATTCTATATTAGACTGGTTCTTTAGGATATATTCATGGGAATGGGATAATTGGTTTAGATGGTGAGAACTTTTTAAGCTCTTTAAAATATGACCAAGTTATCCTTCAGAAAGATTGTACCAAATTAGCAGTTTATGAGTACTCATCATATTGCTGCTTTTCCACTATTAATTTTTCTAATCGTTGACAATTTGTTAAGCAAATAATTGGTTGTTCTTTTGATCATTCTATTAAGAGTGGCTTTATAATGAATTATTTTTTTCCCTTCTGTAATTTTATAGTTAATTGATTAATAAAAAACACAAGAGGGTTGGTAGGTTGAGTGGGCTATAGCCCGCTGAGTATGTTTACTGTACATTTAAATCTCCAAAGTACTTTAACATCACTTTACTTTATCCTGGAATATGAGCTATCTTTCTTAGTCATAAAGTAGAAAGAGTTCCAAACTGATAGTTAAGTGTTGGGTTCTGGATCTTCCTCTGCCACTAATTATTTGTCTCACCATAAATATTTCATGTTGTTTCAAAACTTTAACTGTAAAATGTAGAGGTGATCTTTTAAGCACTTTCTGGTTTCAAAGTACTTTGATCTTGTGATTTTGCTCTTTAGAGATTCTAATGCCATTTATGTTTAAAAAACTACATGGTTGAATTGGATTAGAAGTATTATCTTTTGATTTCAACTCTGCATACATGAAAACGAAAGTCCTTTTTTAATACAAAAGGGAAATTAATTTGCATTACTTAATGCAGTTAATATTACCTAAATTGTTGAACTTAAGCTTTCCTGCTTTAAGTGCCTTTAAAAGTATTTTTATTTGAAATATAAAATGTAAAGGAAATTTTATGTAGTTCTATACAGTTTCTTTTTTTTGATATACTTTTGAGTTATTAGCAGCAACTTTTTTTTAAACCTTAGATTGCACAGAGCAGTATATTCATGGATTCTTCACTATTCGGGTAATGAGTCCTTGAGAAATGTATGTTAAAGATTAGCTCAGTGAGCAGGTAAGTAAATGCTCTCTGTCTTGGGTGGGCAACAAATCTTCTATACAGAGTAGGGATAAAGGATTATTCAGATTCCAGTGTTTAGATATTCCAGTGGAGATAGTAGGTGTCCTGAGTTAGTTAATGGTTATTATTGCAGATCTCAAATTTTTCTTTGGTAGCAAATAGTTCATTATCGTAGATTAAAGGTTGGTAAATGTTTTGTGTGAAGGGCCACATAATAAATATTTTAGGTTTTTCAGGCCATCTGGTCTCTTCACAGCTATTCACTTTTGCCATTGTAACACAAATGCAGCCATAGACAATGTGTAAATGAGTCATTGTGGCTGTGCTTCACTCACACTTTATTTACACAAAAAAATGGTGAGCTGGATTTGGTCCATAGGCCATAGTTTGCTGTCCTAGATGGTATAGATCACTTGTAGTTCAAATTACTGGCTAGTAATTTAAACAGCAACAAACGGTTGTGAGTTTCTGTCATTCCAGCCCTCTCTTAATTTGATGTAGTCTAGCTGGCTGGGTTTGAATGTTATTTAGGATTATAAAGGTAAGTGGGAAGTGGGTATGGGAAACTATTAGGGAAAAAAGCACTTTGAAGCCCTTTTATTTGCTAGAGCCCATTAGGAGTTTTGCTTTGCTGCCATAGTTAATCAAAAGAGTGATGAGTGGAGGTTGTGATTGGTGGTTGCAGATTATATAAATTATTCTTAAGCACTTGGCTACCTAGATGATAGTAGAGGGTGGAACAGATAAGAGAAATTGTGAAATGTGAGACTTTATTTTGCCTTATAAAGAGAGACTGTTGGAAAAATAACTACCATCTTCCATCACCATCACTTTGTTTAAGACCCCCTCAAATTCCTCCCATATTTAGGAAGGACATAAACTTAGAATAAAAGAGAGTTATTTAAGTTGAATGACTTTAAGTTGATGGAAAAATTGCTCCACTGTTCATTTCTCATCTACTCTGTATCACTGAAAATTTCATCAAGGAGTAGTATCAGTCCACAGACTGGCAGTTGGAAAGTGCTGTGATACAGTTGCTGAAAGATCTAATGTAGTTATAAAATTATTATTGATAAGGAGATGTAGTAAACCACATGTACTCTGATATTCAGACTAAAACTTTTATATTATTGTGTTAAATTGTAAGTGCCACATATCAAAAGTGACATTGTGAAGTATAGTGTTCATAAGGAGGCAGACTGAATGTTGAAAGTCTTGAGTGGGATAAAAAGAAATTGGTGATACTTATTTTGGAGAAAATAAGTTTAAAGAGAGGGAGTTTTCTTCCGATATTTGAGTGACTGCCATGTGTAAGAAGGAATAGAATTGTTCTGTCTTGTTCTAGGTGGAAAAATTATAAGAAATGGAAGTTTCTGGTTCCACATTTAAGGAGAATTATGTGTATGAGAATTTCTACATGAAAATCAGCTCTGTCCTCATAAAATCATTGGAAGTATTCACACAAAAGCTAGATCAGTGGTTCTCAAAGTAGGAGCCCTATACTATCAGCATCAGCACCACCACTGGGGTATATTACCTGTGTAGACCTGAAATTATGGATCACCAAGCTGAAAAAAAGCCAGTGGAATTAGTATAAATAAAATGGAACTTATTTCATTTGTATAAAACTGTTAAGGGAAATCATTTTTAAATAAAAACTGATTTTGATCATTTAACACTAACTTTCAACAGAGATTATAAATTGATGATTGTTACTTAATTGTTAGTGAAAGTGACTTAGCTTTCCTAAATCTAAAACAGAGCTATATCAGTAGCAGAAAAGGTTATTGAGGGAGCTTGCTCTTTTTATATTATATTATTTTAATGTCAAAATATTGGGAGGGTAACCAAGAGCAGCTGGCAGATAAGTTTTCTCTGCCCTTTTCCTCTTTTCCTATGCTGTAAATATGACCGAGTGGCATGTCACAGTATTACATTGACCATGCTATATACATTTGGTAAAAGTAATGCTGGTAACTGGAACTTCTGCCTTTGTAACGTAATTGTTGTGTATGGAGTTTGTTTGCCTATCCTAAGTTTATTGATATGTTCTGTTTTTTGGGTCCTCTGTGAAGAACCGTAGAGTTTTAGATTTGTCATTTGTTCAAGGGTTCTCCAGTGGTCACAAAGTGGTTTGTACCCAGGGCTTACCACATTTACAGTGTTTGTTTGTATTTAATACTAATGCAAGGTTTTGGCCATCACCCTAGAAAAATAATGGAAAAAATTTAAAGCCAGTTCTCCTGATTTTGAAAGCCATATAATGCAATTGGTTTTTCATTATGAATTGTACACTATATTTAAATGTATATTTCATACTGTATAAAGTGAGGTTTGTAATTTTACTAGATGCAGTCCTATTTTTTTCCTATCAGCCTAATAAGGAAACCAAAGAGAATGTTATTAACTTATTCAAGGCCAAGTGTATTCAGCTATGAGTAAGACCTTAGTTCTAGTCTTTAAGTCTGCCAATGTAAACTTTGGAAAATATTTTAATTTTTGTGACCACAATATTCTCTGAATTACTTACTGAATGTGATATTA